GGTTCAAAATTCAAAATTATCCTGATTTATTGAGTAAAACCCTGGATGGTACTAGTTTACTATTTACCTATTTACTTGGGTGCTAGCCAGCCTTGGGGAGCAGACAGTCAGCCTTTCAGGGGCTTTTAACAAGCTACTCCCACAATCAAGTTATGTGTAGCAGGACCCTTCCTCTATTGTGTGGTCCCCATGCCAGGTGAGTAGTGTACTACCTCCCCCTTGTAAACAGCTAGGAGAAGAAGTACCACACATACATCACAAGAAACAAAAGCAACCTACAGGACTTTTTCAGGACAGGATGTCAGTCAATGGCTTGCAAGGAACTCATTAATATTAATAAAATATCTTTCCCTTCCAGCATTATTAGATACAAAGGTGCCTCCTTTGAGGGCATCGTAAGATCACAATAAAGACATCAGTTAATCTAAAATGTTTATATAAAATAAAGAACTTTCATGAACTGGGGGAGCCTAAGGTTGGTGCCACGGTAGCTCCACCAGTCAAAGACATTGTCTCACCTTCAGAAGGGAAATTCCTTCCAAAATACCCCATAGACACGATGACACACTGCACAGCAATTAAAAAGCCTCAGCTACAGCCTTTCAGACCAAAGGTTCTTCATATATTAAATAAGGAAAGCCTACTTTGTGGCAAACAAGTGGCTCATTGTCTAGAGGTATGATCCTTGTCTGGAGAGAGGTGTCTTGGGTTCTGTGCTGGTGAAAACCTTGATGTGATTTGTGAGCAATGGATTCCAACTTGGTGACTAGAAGGAAGCCATATTACACCCATGGATAGCCACTGCTAACCCTAAATGATTATCTTGTCTGTGTGAAAATTTGCTGATGAGGAGCCACTGAGGGAAACATTGGAGAAATTACTGGGATTGCAACCCTCACTGTTGAAGCCAGCATAGCAACTCTTCCTTTGGATCCACCCTCTGCACCCAGAGTCTAATATGGCTTGTGTTAGTCACAGCAAGACTCAGGTCACATGTTACATTGTCTATACCAGAGAGAGTCAATTATTTTTTGTCAAGGTCCAAATTTCTTGGTCAAGGTATAGTCAAGGTCCAGACTCCAGAGAAAATAATTTAAAAAAACAAATAATGATAACTGAATACAAAGATTTCAGGGTCCATTCAAAAGCATCTGGTGGTCTGGATTTGGCCCATGGTCCGCCTATTCACTACCCTGGTCTATACCCATGCATAGACAATATGCCAGTCACTCCCCGGTCCAGAGAAATAGATCCATCCATAAATGAATAGCTTCTGGAGCGGACTCATAACCACCAGTTCTTCAAAATCAAGAGAAGCTTTTATCCCAATGTAGAGAATTGCTCACTCAGAGGTCAAAACTGACACGACTGGCTGTAATTTTACCATAATGTTAAAGGTTTGCAAAGATCAACAACTTCATTGCATCCATCATTTCCTGAGAAGTCATCAGTAACCAATTATTTCCAATGACTAGGATTCTGATGCCTTTCATCAACTTCATCTCAAGTGGGTTTCTCAATATGCACCTGCTGAAATTCCTTCAAATGATATAGAACCATGCACTTTATGAATGACACCTAATTTTGTATTGCATCTAGTTGCACTTTAACCATTAAGGTTGTTTTAATTACAGATTGGGCAAATTTGGATTCTCTTCCCGATACAGTTTCTAAGCAGTAATGTATGTAAACATATTTTATGAGCTCTGGGACTGCAATTCTCTTGTGACAGAACCATGCTGAGTTTGGCCACTGTTGCTGTCACACGTTTGACCGAATATGCTTTTGTACCTCTTCTAAAGAACAGCAATGAAAAATTCAAGGGGACAACCACATAGACACAATTCCTTAGACACAGACTAACCCAATGTGCTTCTGACAAAAAAGCTAGATATAATTTTCAATGAGCTTTGGCCAGAACCTAGCACTCCCCACCCTGAATAATTTTATATCTAATGTGTAATATTTTCATGAGTTTACCAGTACCTAGAAGTACATTAATAATAGCACATCCCAGTGCTGGTTCCCTGGCAGAAAGTTTACATTTATCAAAGCTTTCTACATACATGCCCAAAACAAAAATAAACTGCTTCTGGACTAATAGACTAGATATAAATTATTTTCTTTCACAGTTTCTCGATAGGCTGAATAATCTGCTGAATGAACCGTTGGTAAGATGGTTTGACTTTCACACTCTTTCATCTATAGAAAATATGCATCCTGCTTTTGCATGATAGAATATAGGCAGATGGATCCAGTCCTGGGCATTCAGAACACAGGCAAAACTCCTCCATCTGAAACTTTAAACTTCCCTACCAGGAACAGTGTATCTAGTAGAATGCTTTTTCTTCTCCTCCGGTCAACAAAAATCCTATCATATTATGTTGATGGTGTAAAATAAAGCAGTTAAAAACAAAGTATCTCACAGAGTTCAGCTCATCTCACATTGTCAGAAAGTGAATGGACAGTTAGGGGCTGTAATCTACTACCTTATATCCTTTGAAAGTCACACATGGACTGAATGAAGATTTCTGAGACCCCCCGTTTGAGCGTTTATAGTAGTTGTCTTTCTAAGTAATAACCATAAGAGTGTATGATCCAAAGGGTATCCAGCCTTTAAAGAAATAGGTTTTTTTCCATAGGCCTTTATCAAACAGTCATAACTTAGTGACTGGCACAAGACACAGAATTTGAATCTGGATTTCAAAAGCCATAAAATTCATGGGTGTTTGGATCAAATGTTTTAGTTTGGGCCCATCTCTAGAGAAAAAGATGTGTGGAACAGTTTACACATAGCACTTTCCCAATATATATACAAGGGTCACAAAAGTCAAGTAATGCTTGTGGTAGGATCTTCACACAACACCTAGATTGCAACCTTTCTTTTCCATGTCTTGATTTCCTGTTATGCTGGGTTTAGTGAGTTCCACATTTAAATTGTAGTACTATGAGTATCTCCAGTTATTTAATACAAAAAGTTCCTCTGAACTCAGTTTACTATTATTGGACAATAGATCTTCAATTTCTCAGTATGGTTAACACAAGCTATACAGAATTTAAAAAAAAACCCAAAATAATAAAAACTGTGTTTCCATTGTCTCCTTTGCTCACGCCCCACTCCTTACCTTCTCCCATACCACCCTACCAGTGGAACAGCAAACGTGTGTAAAGCAACCTCTCTTTTCTTCAAAAGACACTTTAAAATCTATTTGTTCCCTGACGCATCCTGGCTACACGGGTCACTCACCGCTCCTTTGCTGGATTGGATTGTACTATACTGTCTCTGACTGTAAGCCCTGTGGGTCAAGAACGTTATTGGTTTGGCACAGCTGTCCCATGGGCAATACCATCTATATGTTATGCTCTACATAAATAACACAGAATCATTCATTTGTACTTTCAGTTAGATTTGTATACTGCCAAAGACAACAATGGCCACCCATTGCTAAGAAAGAATATTGAGCTGCAACAGCCACTGCTTATTTTAAGGAGTGAGTCTAAGAGGTGCAGCAAGATGGCAGGTTCCATTAAGTAGGTGAGATAAATGTGAGTAGCAGCTGTTTTCACCTACACCACTCAACTTTCAATGCTGCTTAGTTATTGTACATAAATGCACAGCTCAGGTAAAAAAATGAGTTGAAAAGAGTTGCTAAGAATGGGATTTTTGGCCCCCTCCTTTGAAAATCTACGTATTATAAATGGTTTTAAAACTATACAAACTCTACTGCATGCAACATATTTCTGGCAAAGACTGGCCTTCACTTTCTATAAGAATTATAAAAACAATTACTTATTTAAACAATTCTTTACTGCATATACTTGCTGTATTCCAAGTAAAGTAATAAATACTCATAAACCTGATGTTGACTTCTTAAAAGACTTCTCATGTGGAATAAATTAGGATGCCGTTCCAGGAATCTATTTATGGTTGTGTTTGCCTAGCTATAAAAAAAAGTACCTCATGCAGCTCAGACATTGATCAGTTACTACCCACCTCCACCTATTATAAGTCATCAGCATTAATGGTTGCTGAATAGTTATTGTAAATAACACCTCAAGGATGCTCATAGGTGTATAATGAGTGAGTAACATGATTTTACTGCTCTTATCTCCATAAAAGTCCAAAGGCAAAACCACAGTGGGTTTATATCAAACTCATTACTTTGTTGTTAAGAGGGTCTTGTATTAATTAGTGGTCTGTACAAAAGTTTACATTGATTTCTTGCGAATATACTTATGCTAAATGTACAGTACAGTGACACAGGATATAATGCAATTAAAATGTATGTTCTGCTCATTTTCTATATATTGAAAGAACAAGAATATATTGCCAAATCAATTAAATTTAATTATCAAATAAAGATCATCTTCTTGCAGTTGTCATCATTATGAAATTATTTGGGGAAATCTGCTTATTTATATATAAAGTTGGAAAGTGAAGGGTGTCTTACAAAATCTTGTAAAACAGTTCTCAGTTTGGTGTTTCTGAAGGGAGAATTGAGAAAGAGCCAAGACAGAATGTAAACTGAACACTACCCGTGAGCTAAAACTGGGTACTTCGGATTCATTAGACTGGTAACAACATGAGTATTATTGCTTTCAAAACCTAAACTCTTCTGATATAGAAACTAACTTGAAACAAGGTAATTTAACCAGAAGACAATATGACTCATGGATCACATATATAGTTTAAAATTGGAAGCCATTTGTGTTTCTTTACTTCTGAGATATCTGGGTTTGAGTTTTTATGACAGTCAGATCTTTAACTTTATAAAACAGAAGATAACACATTTCAGGCTACTTACTAATAACACAGATTAATTATTCTTTCTCTGTTTTAAAGTGAGATGAACTGCAGCTCTAATTGTCCAATCCCTAACAGCAATGCAGCATAGAAAATCTACAATTAGATAGCACAGGACTTGGAGAGAAAAATGGCACATATTTTGTTATATTTTTGTACAGTGCCATTGCAATAGATAAATACATGTCTGAACATCCAACAGTGTTTGCAGCTATTTACTGCTAGTTAAAACAACGTTTCTCAAGGCACTCAGCAGCCGCTGCCCATTGCATTCAACACAGAACATCTTGAGATCTTCAAATCTTAAGTGATCAGTCACAGTTAAAGTGCAGCAAAGTATTGTTAGGTCCATCTTCGCTTTTGCTTTACTCCTTTAATTGACACAATTCTTTGTGATTCTTCTGTCTCTGTCAATTTGTCTGATGCTTTTTGTAACATTAATGGTGACTTCTTTAGTGGGCATTTTCTTGGTGTCCCATTTAGCCTGTTAAAAAGTTTAAAACGATATAATGAGTTCAACATTGGCAGCAAATTGTGAGATATTTACAACAGCTATCTGAGGTTTGTCAAAATAAATATGTTAAATACACAGAAAGACCAAGTGTTCTCCACCCATTTTTGTGATTTGGGGTATATTTTTTAGTTAAGCACAATAGATATCTATCTGGCCTCATCCAAAGCCCGTTGATATCAAGGGAAAGACTCCCATAGATGTCAGTGGGTATTGGACCAGGCCAATAAATCCTATTGACCGATATTAACACTGCTGCGCATGCACCTCTGTGCACAGACTGAAAAATGTACCCCTTTCAACAATGGGGCTAATTTTAGTCCATGGATGGCATTGGGGGACTCCCATTGAAGCCAATGGGAGTTGAGCATACATTGTTCAGGACAAAGTTTGGCTTGAGTTTTCTTTAGGTTTCTCCTGCTCTTAAACCAGAATAGGTTTTTCAAAATTATAGTTTAGGTTTGTATAAAAGAGAATTAAGTCTTATATACATGGTACAGTTCTGTATCAAATCACTTCCAAAGAATAAAGAACTTTACAATACAGCTCTCATGGAAGAAAAGTCACTCTATTTTTTTTAAAAAAATGTTAAAATACATAAAAAATTAATAGTTTATTTTATTCACTAGCAGCAAACCCAATCCTGGTAATACCAATTGTCCCTTAAAAATAGAATCGATTACAAACAGTTTGATCCCCTTAACGTTGATGGGCAAACTCTCTTTGATGTCAACGGGAGCTGGACTGGCACTAATCCTCAGGTTCTAGTCACTTACAAATAAGTTTTACATAGGTACTCCTCTTGGTGTCCTAACCCTTTTGGATCAGCCCAGAATATGGGGCAGTACCAGGAAGCAGTTGTGTCTTAAAGACATCACTATGAACACACATCATCCAAAGCTCCCTTTTCCAGGAGAATGCTGCATCAGCCCTTTGCAAGATGCAGCAGCATTCCCCTCTTGCATCCAATCAGCTCTGCTGGCCAGCCTGAAGAGGTGCAGAGTCCTTGCTGGTACACTGATACCATTGCCTGTCATGCATACCTTAGCCTCTGTTTGCCAGAAGCTGGGAATGGGTGATTACCTGTTCTGTTTATTCCCTCTGAAGCACGTGGTATTGGCCACTGTCGGAAGACAGAATACTGGGCTAGATGAACCTTTGATCTGACCCCGTATGGCCATTCTTATGTTCTTATGACCAATATTGTTGCATTATTTCCTTATGCTCCCCCATCTGTCTATCTGTCTCTTGTCTTATGCTTGGATGATGATGCTGTTGATGATTGATGATGATTAGTAATTATATCTATTTCCAAAGCACCCAGGGGCCTTTGTCATGGAACCCATTGTGCTATACAAATCTAGAACAAAAAGACAATCCATGCCCCAAGGAGTTTATAATCTCAGTTTAAAACAAGAGACAACAGATGGATACAGACAGACAGTTTGTAAACTCGTTGGGACAGATACCGTCTTTTTGTTCTGTGATTTTATAGCACCTAGCACAATGTCCTCTCTGCCTTGCCCTCAGAGCCATGATCTAGGTAGGTCTGATGCAGGCATGCAGTGGGGGATCCTGTACAACATGGGATTATGTGCAGGACAAGGCCATGGTGTAGCCCTCTTTTAATGCTTCTTTACCAAAGAGGTGCTTTTCTTTCCATGCTATAAATTTGGACTCCTTTGACCCTTCCAAAAGTTTTGTACAAGAAGAAAACCCATACACTTGTTACTCAAAACCAGCACAATTTCTCTGACACTTTGCTTGACCTCCACTTAAGCAAATATATAAAAAATGTCATGAGAATCTGGGGTGTTCCATCACTGTGATGTAGGAGATGTGTCGCTTTCTTCTGAATTACTCTATTCTTAGTAATCATCAAGAGGTCCATGGGCATTTCTGTTTAAAACCAGATGTAGTGATGTAGCCCTGGCTATTTACTCCCTGAAGCAAAATTCATGATGCAATATATTGTCCTGTGGCTACTGTGAAACACAGGAAACAGAGGGCCAAATCCTTGTTACCCTGTGGGCCAGCCTGGGCAAGTAGAGCCAGGAGGATTTGTCCCAGAATGTATGTGCCATCATATAGATAATAGCTCAGATGGTCCATTTTTAAATGAGGTTGTCACAGAGTGATGAGGCCTAATTGATGAGTCAGCTCTCTGATCACTGTAGTCTCAGTTAGTTTCCCCAGCAGTAGTTAATTGAGGAAATAGGGAGGAATTAGCTAATCAGATGGGAACACTGGGTGAGTTAAGGAACTAATTGGCTCATCGGATGACTAGTTTGATAAAAGGCAGAAAGGAAGTGTTATTGGGGCAGGGCAGCTGTGCCCAAACTGAAGAAGATCCCAAGGAAGGGAGATCTCTTTTCCTTCCAGGGTCCTGATGAACAGGGGTCTGATGGTAATAGGGCTACAGGAAGTAGAATTGTTGTACTGACAGGTGTTGGTTAAATGGACTTGAATAAATTATATGGAGTGGACACTAAAAGAAGAGAGTCTGAGCAGATTCTGTGGTGAACAAGGAAAGGTGAGGCATATGTCCCATTACAGATGTGAACTGTCCTTTGCCATTAACCTCTGCTCATACATATTAATCTGATAATTTTAACAGGAGGAGCTGTGTTTTTCCTCAAGCTGAGCTTTAAATGCAGTGCATATTGGGGACATGTACAGTATATATAGTCCCCATGCAAAATAAAGATTTACCTTTTAGAAATCTAGTGATAGCAATTGCCTCAGTGACCTACCTCAGTAGTCAATTCCACAGGCTGACCGTACACTATCTAAAGTAATATTTATTATAATTATCTAAAATTTACTGCCCTTTATTTTCAATGATTGCCTCCTTGTATTTTATGAAATCTTCAATCTGCCCTTCATAATTTGAATAATTCATTCAAGTCTTTTTCTGCCTTTCCAGACTAAATAATTATTGCACAGTTTATATATATATGCATGCCTTCTCTGGACCTTTCCAGTCCTCATTCTACCTTTCTTAAGGTGTGCTAACCATATCTGGACAAGATAAATGAGTGCACACTAGTGTTTGAAACGGTCTTATAATATTATTTCTCGATTTTAATTCACCTATTTGCCTTTTCAAATGTTGCTATGTACCTGGCAAATATTTCATTAGCCACTCACAATGAATCTGATATTTTTTTTCCTGCAGATTATCTAGATTATAGAGCCAATGCTGCCTTCACTTCCACAAGTGTAACTCCTGCTGAAGTCAGTGGGAGTTACACCCATGCAACTGAGGGCAAAATTGGGCCCCTACATTTGCCAACGTACATTATATTTATGCAAGTTGAATTGCATCTGCTATTGTGCTGCCTAATCATCCAAAGTGTTCACATCCATCTGGTGTTTCTCACAATTCTCCATAGATTTTGTTAATCAAAATAACCTAATGTCAGTCAGCAAACTTCAACTCCCAGTGCACCTCCTCTGTCGGATCTTTCATACAATATAGTCAATAATCCTGGACCCAACATTAACCCCTTGAGTGTCCTACTGTTGTATTTCCTTCATTATTTTATTAATTGTTTTTATTATCAATTTCTTTTAGGCCCATATCCTTTTCACCTTACTGACTGACATCAGGGCCAGCTCTAGCTTTTTTGCTGCCCCAAGCAGCAAAAAAAAGCGCCG